CGAGTGCTAGAATTATAGGCACGAGCCACCGCACCCACCAAACTCATGTCATTAAATCAAACACTTTTTTCCCTTTATTCTTTATGTTCTCTTAAAATAGGAGTGAACAAAAACCTGACCTTTTTCCAAGCCTAAATTTCCTTCTCTGTTGATTCTTTTGATCAAAACAGTTCCAGCATAGTCATCTTCAAATTATTTCCTGATTAGTGAGATGCAGGAAATGATAGAGGCACTTCATTTTATTTTTTATCTGTATATATTTAAGGAGTACATGTGCCATTTTGTTACATGGACATACCTTGAAGTGATGAAGTCTGGGTTTTTAGTGTATCTATCACCCCAATAATGTGCATAGTATCCATTAAGTAATTTCCACCCCCCACCCTCCTTCCACCCACACACACTTCTGAGTTCCCACTGTCTACTCTTCCACATTTTATATTATTGGTTATTTAGGTCCCTTTTCTAGGTGAGAACCTGGTATTTGGTTTTCTCTGTCTGAGTTGTTTGACATAAGATAATTGCCCCCAGTTCTCCCCGTGTTGCTCCAAGCCATGATTTCATTCTTTTCTACTGGCTGCACAGCACTCCCTTGCATAAATGCACTTAGTTCTTTTTTTTTTTTAAAATAAGGTCAACAACTTTATTTATTTAATTTAATTAATTTATTTATTTTGCAGTTTTTGGTGGGGCTGGGTTTGAACCTACCACCTCCGGTATATGAGGCCGGCGCCCTACTCACTGAGCCACAGGCACTGCCCAATGCACTTAGTTCTAAAGTGATTTGGAGAAGTATAAAGCGATGAAGTTATTTATTTATTTACTTTTGAGACAGAGTCTCACTATGTCACCCTTGGTAGTGTCATGGTGTCATAGCTCACAGCAACCTCAAACTCTTGGCTTTAAGCGATTCTCTTGCCTAAGGCTCCGTAGTAGCTGGGACTACAGGTGCTTGCCACACCCCCTGCCCACTTTTTCTTTTAGCAGGTCTGGGCCAGGTTCGAACCCACCAGCCCTGGAGCATGTGGCCGGTGTCCTAACCACTGAGCTGTGGTCACCTGACCGGGCAATGCCTTTTAATCTGAAATAGAACAACAGGAGCTAGTGGGTTTGTTAATGATTACTCTAACTAGTGTTTCTTGCATGCTCTGGAAATGAACGTCAGTCAGTGATTCTGACTACAGACGAAAGGGAGTTGCACATCCCTGTGCTGTGAGTTGCCCATGTTTCTCCAGTTTTCAGATGGTTTCCATGTGCGTTCTTAGGGAATCAGTCCTTCCCATAGTAGGTAGAAGATGGTTCCTATTTAGCACAGGACTGGGCCCATCTTTTCCTTAATGGATGACAATGTTTGCACTATTGCTGCTGGCAGAAGGTTTCAGGACATCTCCTTGGGCTGAATAAGGCAATGCTGATGGCAGGACACCTCCTTGGAGAGTGGCCTTTGAGCAAGACTTGTGGGCAGAGAGAAAAGGTAAGAAAACTCAAATCCATAGATGACCTTTGGTAAACACATGGGATAAATGACAAATCATTTTTAAAGGAACACATTAAAGGCCAAGTGTTCTTTCTAAATCAAATTGATGCTCAGTTCGTGCATGTCAAAAACATGATGGCTGGGTGTAGGAGAAGGGGCACTCTGGGAGGCCAAAGCTGGTGGATTGCTTGAGCTCAGGAGTTTTTTTTTTTTTTT